GTTAAATCATCTAAATTGGATCAGTAGATCAAAAGTTATTAATGTTTAAAGATTATATTATATTATATAAATTTATAAATATAAATTTTATATATAAATTTTATAAAATTTGATTGGCTAATTTTTAGAGTCAGGTGGGGGGAGGGGTAGGCTACTAAATAAAAAAAATCAGGTGATTAATAATACTTCACTTGGCTAAATCATGCTTTTCAAAAATTTTCTCTATGTAAGAGATCTGGGTTTTGTGAAAAAACATTAGTAAATGCAACTTTTGAAATTTAAAGTTGGATATCATTATAATTAGGATAAGGTTGAATTAAAAGAATTGGATTTAGGATTAAAATTAGAACTGGGTCTTGGGGCTTGGTTTTAGATTAGAACGTGAAATTTGGATTGGATTAGGTTTAGAGTTAAAAACGGATAATCAGGTTTGAATTAGTTAGATTTAGAAATGAGTTAAAATAATTTACATTAGAGAATTATCAAAAACTGCTAGATAAATATTAATATCATGTGATGCGAATATATATACTTTCGAATATATGTATATAACTCCTAAATTATATTATATTACACTTTAATCACTTTCTAGTTAACTAGTGAATCACTAATTAAATTATTAATTTTAATGATTTTACTATAAAATTCTGATACTCAAAATCTTAATACTTAAATCTTAATATTAAAATCTTAATATTATAGAATTTCAATACTAAAATACTAAAATTTTAATATTAAAAAATTCCAATATTACAAAAATCTGTTATTTTTTTTTTATACCAATAATGTAATCATCTTCGGGCATATATGGTGCTCTTTTATTTATAAATTATTTTACATTTATATATATTGTAGATATTTACAAATAGAGTTTATCTATGGATTGCTATTTAGATTTGAAGCTATTACTTTTATCTCCTTGGAGATATGGTTTCTGATATTACTGTTTCTGGTGTTGTTAAATTTTCCCATTTATGTGATGTAAACCAGCATCAAATTTCATAGATTGTGCTTGTATGTAGCTAAAGAGCTGCTTTATGATGCTTTGAATCTTGAAGGTTGTTTGCTGTGAAAATTTCTTCAATTAATGATAAGATTGATATTTCTTTAATATTTAGAAGCTTGTAAGCTTCATTTTATATTCTTTTACTTATATTATACTCAAGTGCAAAGTGTTCTATTGTTTGAAGTTCATCTGGATACCAGAGGCAGTCTCCTGACTTTGTTGCGGATATGTGTTGTAACCAATATCCTAAAGGAAGGGCCTTATAGTACATGCGTTATAATATATCTTTTTTCTTGTTGTTGGCTGCTTTCGTGAATAGCCAGTCCATCTTGATATCTGTTAAAAATATAGTATTTGTTGGCGCAACTGTTCATTTCTTTAAGATTTCCATTAGATTTTTTACTATAAAGTTCATGTATTATTTTTTGTCAACTTTAAAGTCTTCTATTTTTCAGAACCAACTATAATTTGCTATAATTTTCTTCTGAAAATTTTTCTATATTGCCAGATATGGTTTCTATTCTGTTGGCTAAGTTTTAAATCTAATTAAAATTAATGTTAAAAATTGTAATACTATAATATTTCTCTTTTGTCTTAGGAAAAAAGAGATTCTATTTTGTTCAATTTTTGTCTATAAACAATCACAAATTGTTAGTTTTGTCTATACAGTTAGCATTCTTGCATCAAGCATATTGTTAACTATTGGGGCTTAAAGATCTCATGTTCATAGAATAGCTGAAAAGTTGAATATCTAGAAAGCATTCTAGAGTTATTTTTGATCCATATGGCAATTAGTCTATTAATTTCTACTACTTGCTTTTTATTTGGAGGTAGTAGGTATGCTGCATACCATATATGTGCAAGTATAAGTAAATTTGCTACTAGAATTTTTTCTCTAAAAGAGAGATTTCTTTAGAAAAACTTGTCTGTGAGACTCTTGATCTTTGTGATAACCATAGTCTATATGTTTTTTTTGAGTATTCTATCTGAATAGATTTCATAACCTAATATTGTGATTGCTTCTTGCTCTGCTATTTTTGTAAATTAGTTTTCTTTTGTAAGCTTAACTCTTCTGGCTATAACTATAAGAGGCACTAGTTTTGTTTTGCTTTCATTGATTTTGGCATTAGAGATATTTTCGTATATGTGAAATAATTCTAGTACTCGGTTCTAGTCTAAGGGAGATCTTATCCCTATTGTTAAATTATCTGCATATACTACTATTTTGAAATAGTGTCCTTGAACTGGTATTTCTTAGATTTTATTTTCTATCACTTTTAGTAATGGTTCAAAAGCTATAATATAAAGAAGAAGGGAAAAAGAGTCTTTTTGACAAACTCCTCTTTCTATTCTAAAGAGACTTGAGATATCTCCTGAATCTATGATATATGTTTCTTGATTTGAAAACAGATTTTTGATTACTCTTCTGAATCTTATATCAAAGTTCATCCTTTCTAGAACTGTTTGCAGATATGTGTGATCAACCCTGTTAAAGGCTTTTTTCTGATCTACAAAAAGCATCTAGTATTGTTTAGTAATATCTATTTGATTTCTCATAATTGTAAAGATATTTAGAACTACATCTGCTATTAATCTTTTTGTAACAAAGCCCTGTTGATGGTTTAGAATTATAGACTTGCAAACTTCATTTAGTCTAGTAGCCAAAATTTTCAGAAAAATTTTGGTATCACAGTTGACTAATGAAATTAGCCTCCAGTTATTCAGATTGTTTAGGTTTGCTGACTTCTTGAGTATCAGAATTATCATATTCTTGCACCAAGATACTGAAAGTGTTTCTGCTATTAGAACTTGGTTAAAGATTTTTTCAAGAACTGGGACTATCTGTTCCTCTGTAAGCTTATAGAACTTGTATGTGAGACTATTGATTCTTGGTGATTTGTTGTTTAGAAGCTGCTTTATTGTTTGACTGATTTCTTCTTGTGTGATAGGTTTGGTTATACCTGTGTTTAGTTCTTCTGAGACTTGTATGAAATTGCTAGTTAATTTGTCAATTGCCTTCTGATCTGTTTTTTCTTTTTTGTAGATCTTTTCATATTGTTCTTTAATGAACTTCAGAGTATCTTTTTTTCTGGTTTTATTTATGTTGTTAAGCTCTTTGACTATTGAGAGGGTCAGGTTTGCATGTCAGGACTTGTAGTAAAAAAAGAAGTACTTTGTGGACTTTTTTCCTTGTTCAATCCACCTTGCTTTTGAGCGAATTTGCTATCTGTCTACCAGTAGAGTCAGTTCTTCTTGCATAGAGAAGTTGAGATCCTCATATGTAGAATATAAGAAGAATTTAGTTGGATCCTCTGCAATTTGTTTCTGAAGGTTTGTAAGTTTTTTGTTAATCTTTGAGATCTTGTTTTCTGGAACTTTTGGCTTTTGAAGGCTCTTATAATTGACTAAATTCTTAGCTTTTGTAGGTCCCACTCTGATAGTTCTTCAAAAGATATGATTTCCTCTATTATTTCTTTTTTTAAAAGTTTATTTTTAAAAGAATTCTTATCAAACCTCCAGTTGGAAGGTTGATTGATCTTCTGTTTTTTGGCCAGAGTGCATTTGATTAGTAAGTAGTCTGAATTACCAAAAGCAGCTTCGTAGATGATATGAGATGTTTATAATTCTCATCTATAAAGATATAGTCAAGTCTAGTTACCATTGTTTGATTGTTTTAAACTTTTTGATGGCTCTGTATATATAGCAGAGTCTATGTAGTTTTTTATCAGATTTTTGAGTTGAGTTCTGATATTGTTATTTTGTAGTATAGCTTGGCTTATTCTGTCTATAGTTAGATTTAGATTTGTATTAAAATCTTTTACTAGAATATTGATAGTATTTTTTTTGTATTGTGGAGACCACTTGTTAAAGAAAGCTATTCTTTTTTTATATTTAGAAGAGCATATAGGTTTGTAACTAAAAAAGATCAACCTCTATATATAAAGCTTGTAAAGATTACTTTTCTTTTATATAGAATCTTAATGTTCTGAAATTTTATTTCTTTTCTTCCTGCCAATATAGTGGTCTTGTTTGTCCAAATTGATTCATAAATCTATTGCTTCTTAATAAAAGTTTGTGTTGTCTAGTTGTTTAGATTTGTTTCTTGTAATAGTATTAGGTCTAAATTATAAGATTTTAAAAGTTTTATTGTTTTTTGTCTTTTGTTCTGATTATTAAGTTCTTTTATATTTAGAGTAGCAATTTTAATTATTGCTTTAGTCATTAGATATTATAAAGGTAAGTGTACTCTTATTGAGCTTTTGGAGAATTCTCCTCTGTTTATCCTTTTTTGTATGAAGTTTGTCTTACTGTTGCTTGCTTATATATATTTTGATTTGTTTGTTTCTTTTTTTCTCTTTTGTAGAAAACAGTTGTAAAGCCTTCTTTCATTAGAATTGCTGATGATGTATTTTCTTGAGAAAGATTGTTTTCTTTGTTATTATCTTTGAAAAATGGGCCATTTAATACAAGCTCATCTCTTGTTGTAAATTCTGTTTCTGAAAAAGTGGTTGCTTGTTCAGCTTCTTTCTGAGTATCTTCTATTTTATCATCTGTGCTATGAGAAATATCTTTATCTCTTGCTTATCTGGTGTTTCTATACTTATTGCTTCTTCTTTTGATTCCTCTTTCTTTTTAGTTTTTGAAAGACTTTCTATTTCTTAAGCTATTTTGCTATAGTCTCTGTTTTTTGTTTTGGAGATTTCTTTGAACTCTTGATAGTGCAGTCTTAATACAACTGACTCTTTGAATTGGGAGCATTCTTTTTTTATATGTCCTTTCTGGTCACAAAAGTAGCAAACTTTAGGAGCTGCCTTCTATTCAGTTGTGATTTTGTTGTCTCTGAGATAAATGAAATGAAAGATTCATTTTTCTAAATCTCTATTTTCTGTTATGTCAAAAATAACAAGCTATTGATTAGTTAAATATGGAGTTCTCTCAATTACCAGTGGTTTTATTGAGGCTATTTTGCTAAAATCTTGAAATATATCTTTGATTAGTATTGTTATCTCTTCTTTTCCTCCTAATAAAACATTTCTGAGCTTTACTGGGAGAAAAGACTTGCGGTTAGAATATAATCAAAGTATGATTTGTTGAAAATGTTAATACCCTTGGCCGCATGGTGACTAAGAGTATTTTTGTTAAAGAAGATAATTTCTAAGTATGTATGGTTATCCTTTTTGAAGTATTGTTTTGCTGCTATGATATCTTGTTTGATGTTTTTATAAAGTAAGATTATTATTTCATTGAAGAAACTTTAAATATCTTATATTTCAATAATTAATGCATTCTCATTCTTGGTTTTTATTTGTTTTCTAGAAGAGAAGGCTGCATAAGTCAATTGGCCCCTTTTTAGTTTTGCAAATAGGCTTGACCACTTTTTATTGGTTGTATCTTTTAGTTAACTAGTATCTGTTTTAGCTTTTCCTTTTGAAATTAAGCTTCCAATATAATGGGTTATTTTCTGAGAATTCTGTAGCCTCTGGTGTGTTTTGTTCTATTTGTTGTTCTTGATCTATAGTCACGTGATCTTGTATGTGTTTTGTAGCATGACTTGTTTTGTTGTTTTGTTGTTGTTCTTTATTTTTATATATTAACATATTTGTAAAGATTGAGCTTTGGCTCTTTTCTTCTAAAGATGCTAGTTTCTCCTAGCTAGTATTTTTTGTAGTTGTCTTGATTGCTTGTATTGAAGTGGCTGCATTTGTAGTGATTTTTTCTTCTTGTTGTTGTTTTAATATACTGTTTATTTCTCTTTGTTCATCAAAGAGAAAATTTTGTATTTTTAGTTTTTTTGTTGCAAGTTTCTTATATTCCAAAAAGAATATATCTTCTTTTCCTTGGTACAAGAGCTAGTGCTCTTGTTGGGTCTTGTTTTAGGTTGTTTGTAAACTTGTATTGAGTAGTTATTGTATTTTTTGTTTATACTTTTTCTCTTACAAATTTGTACAAGAGAAAGTTTGTGTTGATCTTTTTTAAAAAAAAAAAATCTGTTATTTTTTAAAATCTTGTCTACTAAAATTCTAATATACAAAATTTTGATACTATGGTGCATGTAGCCTAGAACCAACATTACGTGACCAAAGATGGCCAAATTTTAAAAAATTTTTTATTATAAAAATTTTTGTACCACATAAAAATTAGCCAATTAAAT